ATATATATACATATATATACATATATATACATATATATATGTTCTTTTTTTAAAGGATTGGTCGAAGGGCGGACCACCCAACCAATCTCATGTGCAAATTCAAATCATGTCTGGTCGAGGATTTGAAACCGGGTCGAGAGGGGACTTACGTAGAGCAGTCACCAACTCACTAACACCTGATGCACATATATATATATATATATATATATATGACTACATACCATGACATAGAGGCATACATTGATGTAGATTGAGCGAGCTCGATTATTGACAATAGATCTTCCGAAATTTTTATTATGTTTTGGAAAATCTGGTTTTATGGTGAGGTAAAAAATTGAATGTGGTTGCGAGAAGTGTTGAGGCAGAATATAGGGTCATGACTAATGAAGTATGTGAGATGTTATGGTTGAGGAAAATTCTTGAAGAAGTGCGGATCACAATAAACATGGCAATGAAGTTGTATTATGATAATAAAGCAGCCTTAAAAATTGCAGAAAATCGAACGCAACATCATCACACAAAGTATGTGGAGATAGATAAGCACTTTATAAAAGATAAGATTGATTTTGGAGCAATTTACATGTTGTTTATTCCTACTACTCAACAAATAGCAGATATCTTCATCAAAGGACATTCCAGACCTAGTTTTGAGCTGCTTGTAAGAAAGTTGGGCATGATAGATATTTATGCTCGAACAATAGAGAGGGTGTTGAAAATTTTAGAATGTTTTCATTTATTTTTAGTATTTTTTATTTTTTTTATTTTGTTATTATTGGTAGGATGTAATTTCTGCTTCCCATTTTTAGCATGAGGATTTTATGGCTTTCTTAGGAGCTGCTTGATTGAGTGAATTAAAAATAGTCTTATATTTATTTTACAACTAAAGCGAACAACTAAAAAATATTTCAAAAACATAGTAATCAGAGTGCTCTACAAACGTTTTACATTGCATTTCAATTTAACAAATCAAACGTCCTCTTAATGTGGTAGCCTTCCCTCGTTAAATATCTAACAAAATTTTCCTATAAAATTAAAGAACAATTAATGTTTCTGCTCTCCCAAAACCTACCATTCACGATAAAATAAAATATGTTTATAAAAAGCAAAAGCAATAAATCAATAAGATCCGAAACACATCATATTATTGAGAAAAGTAAAAATAAACACAATGGGGTTGGAAAATCAATGGCAACTAGAGATAAATCATACCTGGGGAGAAAAATTCCTAGTTTGATCCTTCCGCAGATTCATAACATCAGCACAAATGGTTCTTACTCTCGAATCACAATGATGAGATGGAACATTCACCTTCTGCACTGCATGGAATATCACTGAACAATTTAAATTACATGATGAAAATACCAGTAAGCCTAATCATCGTACCAAATTAATCTTCAATTTAATTTCTAATCACTCTCATCAACCTCACATACCATCCAAAATACAAATGACTCACCTTCAGGTCAATCCCCACAACTGTCCCTCCCTTCTCCAAAGGACCCAAGCTTCGACAAGCTACCTGAATACAACCAAAACCTACGTCATCGCCATTTGTAAGTTCCAAGAACAAAAAGAGATCTGCTTAAAATTTTACAGTAAACAGAGACGAGGCAAATAAAAAAGATTCATTGAAAACCTCCATAACAGCCAAATGCATTGTTTTATTAAGCAAAACACTAACAAGCTATTTGGTAGCAAAATTTAAATGATAATTTAACTTAAATCTTGTCAAACCTTCAAAATAAGAAACATAAATCCTGCAGAATCTTAGATGTTGTTTAGCTTAAATCTTAACAAATCCTCAACTTAGTTAACAGATTTAAGAGAGAAGAAACTCATGGATAGCGTGAAGAAACTCATGGATAGCGTGTGTACTTCTCTTAACCTCCCCTTGTCTATAATTGTTCTTGTGCAACTCCCAACTATCAGTGAATCTCATAAAAGCAAACAAGGAACCACAAATTTACAATAAATTACTTAATATTATTTTTCACAAAAAATAAAAAAAATAAAACTTAACAAAAATTTAACCAAATTTACAAAAAAAAGAGGAAGCAAGGAAGTGAGGTTCTAGGATTTTGTGCCCGCAAGGAAGCGTTTACGAAAAATTTAAGAAAATCAAAATAAGATTAATAGTAATTATTAATCATTAACTAATAATAATAAACTAATTAATTAATTGTAATAATCATTTAAAAACCACCACTGCACACTTATCCTCCCCCAAATCCTTCTCTCATCTTCCTCCACACAACACCCTAATAAGAAAAGCCTGCAAACATGAAATGGCATCAACATTTTTTCACATGTCACTGTTATGGTACATCATATCCCACTTTCAAGCAAGTCTGCTTCACATGCAGCACCGCTCACCTCCATATGTAGCCACAATCTAACCACAGTAGCATAAATTTAGGTTTTCTTTGCATTTCGACTATTATATTGAGTTTAGAATACATTGTGTTATTCTATCTAAAATAACGTTATCATATGAAAACTACGAGTGAATATTAAAAATTTAAATAGTAAAAAAAATTATATATATATATATATATATTTTAAAAATTTTATTAAATATAACAATGTCTTGTCCTACTTTTTTACAATTATGTTGTGTTGTCATGTTGATGATGTGTCGTCTGAGCATAAATAGTAAGCCTCCTATTAAAACTTAAAATCTGAAGCTATAAACATTCGATGAAAAATGTTCTTTTAGATGGAGCAGCGGCAAGTTTATTTAAACTTTGGTATGCGTTTGAAAAAAAATATAAACTTGTGGAAACTCTACTCATTTTGCATGTCTTCGAACTAAATTATATTAGGTATCGATAAATTTAAATGCTTGATGATCAATATATAACATAAATTTCCTACACAATATTTGAGATACTGAATGACAACACAAAATTCCTTATTATCTGAAGAATAATTTTTATCTAGCAACATTCAATTTTTCACTAAAATAAGCCACATGATGATTTTAACGTCTGGCTTGCATTTGAAAATAAATATCTAATCTTGTGTAAACTCTGCTCACTTTGCATGTCAATGAATTAAATTATTTTAGGTATTGATAAATCTAAAGGCGTCATAATCAATATATAACATAAATTTCCTATAGAAGAAATAATGCCTCCAATATTTGAGATATTGAATGGCAACATAAAGTTCTTTATTATATGTAGAATATTTTTTATCTAGCATCATTCAACTTTTCACTAAAATAAGCAACATAATATTCCTCTAATGCTGACTCTTGAGAAATCACATACAACTTCAAATGCTTTAGTAAAATCAAGCAATCGTAGTAAAAAGTATCTTGATCTGATAAAATGCTCCCAAAGCACTAGTAGTCTACATAAATTTATCTTTTTCTGGGACGCGAGTGAGTGGAAATATTAGGGTGTTAAAATACAAAATAAATCTCCAATAGAAAGTAACCAAGCCTTAAAAAAAGTCCTAACATTTGTAAATGGTTAAGAGTAAGTCAATCAATGACGGCTTTAACCTTGATAGAATCAGGTCTTACGCATATCCAAAACTAACATAGAATGATGAAGATGTTAGTCTTCCTCTAAAACAGAATATGAAGATATCACAAAAATAAATCACTAGAAATATACTATGAATGATTTTACATAGCATTCAACATTTTGATGAATGTACTTGGTGCATAATATTATAAAAAAGGCATCCCAAACCATTCATATAATCCAATTGGGGTTTTTACAAAATTGTCTTCCACTCATTCCCAAGTCTAAACTTTATCTTATGGTAGCCACTTTTCAAATCAATCATTATAAAAGAATTGGCACATGAGATATAAACCAACATATTATCAAGTATATCTATGGAAAATGTAGGCCTGATGGTGATCCTATAAATGCATATTCTCCATGATCCATCATTTTCAAGTTTCAACAAAGTTGGGATAACATGTGGACTAAGGCTTTCCCATAAAAAACCCTTCCTAGAAGGTCATTCAAAAAGTTCACCCTATAATAAGAAAATTTTGATAATTGTGAATCAAGCACTAAACTAGTGGCATATTGTATATTTCTGATAGAAATAAGTTCATCTAATAAATCAACTGGGCAAACATCAAAATAGTTAGCGAACAAGTCAAAGACAACAACAATTAGCAGGTATGTTAAGGATGAAAGCCTTTTGTGAAAACTATCATATCTAACTCAAGTATAATATCACAATCTAAGGAAGAAACAATCCATAGCAATAAAAAATCTAATCCTAGTTAACTAAATTTCGGGTCCATTATTTTTTGGATGAGTGGGCAATATGTTAGAAGCGGCCTTGTGATAAAGGGATGGAGGAACCATCTTGATTGCTTCATAGAATATAATTTGGCTGTTTTGCATTATATTTGAACAAAAAAACGTTTTCTCTGCTACAATATATGGCTTTAATATCAAGCAACAAATGCCTCCCTAATAATATATGGGTTTAATCCACAGAGAGAGCATCACACCATATATTGGTCCTCATAACTCCCCGATTTAATAGGCCCATTCACCTATTAGTGTCTAAGAAGAATGTATGGTTCGTCAAACTTACACTAAAGGGCTGGTTCACATTTTAAATTGGTCCTTGAAAACGCATGGGTTGATATCACATTCATTGCACTATCCTACTAATAAATAATCCTCATCTCATATCCATGCAAGTGACCTACTCCTCCGATTTATAACCTCATTCTTGCCAACATCTAAAGCTCTCATAAAACTCAGATGGCACTCACCAGTCTCCTTTAGTTATCATTAGACAAAAGTGAGTCATCAGTAATCTCCTCAATGTGTTAATCCTCCTAATCATCTCCAGCCTCTAAAAATAATATTTAGACCTTACAATGATGATAATTATGCCTTTTTTATGATATTCAAAGCAGATGATGTCCTTTTTTTTTTCCTAGAAATGGACTCAATAGTGATCATGGGGACTAGACTGCTAAATTTAGAAGCTTAAATCTAGAAGAATACTATAGGATGAGAAAAATGTGGAATGTGTTTTAGTCCTAATGACGGATGAAAATTTCTTTTGCTTTCCAATGAGGGCATGATGGAATACAACTTCAAGGATTGAAGAAGCATGTAGCTCTATCTCATTTATAATATCGATCTTAATGTCGATTGCAAATTTATTAGTCAGTTGCCAATCAATATCAATACACCCACCTAATCATGCTACTAAATCCCAAATATATTAAAGTACTCAATGATCTACATGCTCTCTTGATTGAGTCAACAATTGTCCATAAAGCTTTTATCACAGTTGCTTGAACAATATGTGGACCACAACATCAATTTTATATCCACCCATATTATAACTGGTCTTCCTAACATTTTTTCATTGGCTAAGATATTTTACCAATGGGCATGGTCAATTAGCTGCATTTAATAAATGTTACCCACAAATAATCTTTCATTTGATATCATTCAAAAACTGATCCATTTAGCTAAGAATATCTAAGAATTTATTGAGATCGTGGACAGAATCAAATGTGTGGGCTTCCATTTTGAATTTTCTAGCGAATTATTTAATCATCTCCATTTCTTTAGTGTCGTTCACCTCCAAACATATTCCTATTAGCTATAAGATTCCTAGTAGTATGGTTTTCATCTAAAGGATTATTTTGAGGAGGGATGGAACATCTTCTGAAGTTTATGGTTAAGCAAATTAAATTGGCAAATCATACTCTCAAACAATCATTTGAAAGAAAATATCTACGAGGCGGGATATAACGAATAAATACAATTACTTAAAAATATGACATATGTCGTGGGTCATGTGAAATCTATATGAGAGTTCTTTCGAATGTTGGGTCAGCTAGTTTGTTAATTTCTGATGAAAAACTAACTAGAACATTCAACCCAATTGAAAAATTCCTACTGTTTATTTCAAATGAGAGTTGGAATCGCTGCTCTATTTTTTTGGGTCAGCTGATCCCCCCTGTCTGTTGCTTCATGGCCCCAAAGGAAGGCGACGGCTGCTCCATCCACTCCTGCGCAGTACCGATAGCTAACAAAAAGTTGGGCGGGTGGTATCCCCCTGAGATAACTGCTGGTGGAATTCCCACAAGCTCAGCAAGAAAACCGGCCACTACAACAGGAATTAACACCGCAGCATTTTTTGACTGTCAGCCGTCCTAATGATCCTCCAACTAGGTCAATTCATCTGCATAGGAATAATGTCAAAAAACTATTAAAAACCGGCTCCTAACCCTACTCTTCTTTACAGAAACCGAGGGTTTGTAGCTCACTTTGGCAAGGAGTTCAAGTCCACGAATAGCTCTCTCAAATCCTCTGTCTTTTCCTTTCCTAACCCTACTCTTCTTTACAGAAACCGAGGGTTTGTAGCTCACTTTGGCAAGGAGTTCAAGTCCACGAATAGCTCTCTCAAATCCTCTGTCTTTTCCTTTCCTAACCCTACTCTTCTTTACAGAAACCGAGGGTCTGTAGCTCACTTTGGCAAGGAGTTTAATTCCACGAATAGCTCTCTCAAATCCTCTGTCTTTTCCTTTCCTAACCCTACTCTTCTTTACAGAAACCGAGGGTTTGTAGCTCACTTTGGCAAGGAGTTCAAGTCCACGAATAGCTCTCTCAAATCCTCTGTCTTTTCCTTTCCTAACCCTACTCTTCTTTACAGAAACCGAGGGTTTGTAGCTCACTTTGGCAAGGAGTTCAAGTCCACGAATAGCTCTCTCAAATCCTCTGTCTTTTCCTTTCCTAACCCTACTCTTCTTTACAGAAACCGAGGGTCTGTAGCTCACTTTGGCAAGGAGTTTAATTCCACGAATAGCTCTCTCAAATCCTCTGTCTTTTCCTTTCCTAACCCTACTCTTCTTTACAGAAACCGAGGGTTTGTAGCTCACTTTGGCAAGGAGTTCAAGTCCACGAATAGCTCTCTCAAATCCTCTGTCTTTTCCTTTCCTAACCCTACTCTTCTTTACAGAAACCGAGGGTTTGTAGCTCACTTTGGCAAGGAGTTCAAGTCCACGAATAGCTCTCTCAAATCCTCTGGCATAATGCAAGTCAGTTAGCCAAGGAAGAATAACTACAACGAACACAATGTCAAGCCAGTGATCCTATCTATAGAGCACACTGAGCATATAATTCAAGGGAAAGATAATTATTAAATTAATTTTTTCGAATTTAGTGTCAATGAATGATAATAATTTCTCTGTTCTTATCGTAGTTGTTATTTTCAATGAGCAAAAAAATTCAGGGAACTAATATGTATACACCAAAGCTGTCAGTACGGATCTCAAAAGCAATCGAAAGACCCAGACGAAGGGCAGACAATCAAAGCGTCCCATCGCCCTACAACCAACCGTGTGATCAAGAATTGACAAATACAAATATGGAAAAACATCTAAATGACAGACCACGCCTGTAGTTTAGACCGACCAAAGTGACGGTGTGAACATTTGATCGTTGTCAATTGGCTGACCCACTTTTTCAGCGGCGGATGAGGTCGTCACTCGACTGGATGCTTTAGCCGACCGACACAAGGCACGATCGCCACTAAGTCGGCGGGATTCAAGAATATCAGTCAGAAAAATACTATATTCAAGAATATCAGTCAGAAAATTACTATCATATTAGAATTCAAATTGTAATATAGATATAATATGAAATTTATATGATTGATTCAAATATCAAATGAATAAAGAGCAGTTTCCATAATTGCTCCCTCATTTCTGTAATTGTACAAAACACGCATCTATAAATAGGAAATAAAAATACAAATAAAGGGAGCTCTCCGAGTGTTCTCTAGAGAGTAAATTATGGGCTTATTCTACTCTCTCTACCTCCTTAGTCTGTTTCCAATTCTTGGGGTGTATTCCTATAGTACAATTCAAGATTCAACAGCATTACTTAGCAAATCCTACTTAAGTTAAATCCGACATACAGCCACCCATCCCCTGGAGTTACCTGAAGCCACGCTCCAGGAGCACATCCAAGATCAAGAACAGAAGCCCCAGCACCAATTAACTTGAACTGCTTCTGCATCTGAAGAAGCTGCACAACAATGCCATTGACGTCAACAATCTAAACAGCCAATAAAACCATTCATTAACAACAGTAGGAACAAAACCTTAAAAGCCGATCTCGCCACGTAACCAAGGCGTTGCGCCTCTCTCCAAAAGAAGTCCGGCGCCCACGGCCCGCTCATCGACCACCTCAAAAAGTCCCGACTCGTTAAACCCTAAATGGTGTTTTAAGGGGATCGCGTCAAACTAGCTTAATGGCAAGCGAGTTAATGCGCCCGAACATTGAATCGAGGATTTAAACTTTGGGTCAAGTGTACGCGTAACAATGCGATGGATTTTATTAAACATTTTTAACTAATGCCCTGTTTGGATTTTTTTTTTTTTTAACAAAAAACAAAAAACAAATATAAAAACTATGTTTGTTAATTATTTTTTTGTTTTATTTTATTTTTTGTTTTTAGGAGAAACATTTCTACATATAAAATACTCAATATAACAAAAAAACATGGTTTTGTCTGTTTTTTAAGCATGGAAAACAGTCCACTCTCCCACACGATAGATTGGCTCGTATCCATGGTCTTTATCTGTTAAGAGCGACGACCACTGGTTTGTTTTAGACATCATATTTTATAGCTAGAATCTGCTTCAAAAATACATCTTTAACACCATAGGATGGATACCGAAGGCGACAGTGATGCATGCGCTTTAGAAGGTTTTCAAAATCTTGTTGGCGCAGACTCTCATTGCCTTGCGTGGCACCGTGCTGGCTACTGATTTATAGATGTGCTAATATATGTAATCAGGCGATTTATGATTGAAATAATGGGGTTTTTTTTCATGTTAGTATACATGCTTGGGCTTGCAATACCTTACCATCATTGCACGATGTTGGGGAATCACATTGGCTTCATGGGCGCAAACTCTCATTGCGTTGTGTAGCACCGTGCCTGGCTACTAGTTTATAGATGTGCTAATCGATGTAATCAGGCAATTTATGATCCAAATAATCGGGTTTTCTTCATGTTATTATTCATGCTTGGGCTTGCAATACCTTACCATCATTGCATGACGTTGGGGAATCACATTGGCTTCGTGGTGATGTACGTGCTAAATTTCTTCTTCGCTAATTTCAGACCTAATAACATGTGTTTCATTATGTCGGTGGAGATATTTTCGGCTAGGATGAGGTCAACTTGTCACAGAATATCGACGGCAAGAGAAAGGCCAGAGCTATTGTGGGATCATTTGAACTTTTCTATGTGGCCCAAAACTAGGATAAGATGAAGATTGACTGCAAGTATTCGACTGGAATTGCAGTGAGGAACTTTCTAGTTGTCTTACCTACATGTAATGTGTTGGGGCTTCTTTTTACCTTACTGATGTCCGCATCAAAGGGGAAATCTCTTGAGAAGATGTCAGGGGAGAGTGAAGAGAAGGAGATGCAGGAATCTATTGGGTGGCAGGACAATACTTGTTTTAAGCAATAATGTTTATAACTTATTCTTAAAAATAAAATTTGTGAGGAGCTACTTCTGGTAACAAAATCTAAAGAGCATATAGAACTTGCCTATATGGAATAGGATTTCTATCTCCGCTCTTAAGTAATTTTCTCTTTGTCATCTTTGTTATAAGAAGAGAAGTTATAGTTGGTCACACTTCTAAAAGATTGGTCGTTAATGGCTGTTATTGGGATTTAAATTTGAGTTGATATGTTATATTTTGGTGTTTAGGAGTTTTGTTTTCGCTCAATATGTAAATTTGAGCTAAAATGCTCTTTGGTTAAAGGTTTTTGCGTAATGGGTTCAAGGTAAATTATAGACCAAAATATATAAATAAAGATATTAATGGGCTCTCTGTTATAAGTCTGAAGTAAGGTTAATGGTAGTTTGTGTAAATTTTGCAGATTCAGTGGTCATATATTTAAGAATTTATTTGGGATAAATTTTATTATTTTTTTTATTTTTAAATTTTATTTGTGTAATGTATTTTTTATTTCTAAAAATAAATAAATATATATTTTTTTTTATTTTCCCACTGATAAGTCCTAATCAATGCAGTTGGAAGATTATTAGTGCTTCGGGTTCTTGATTTTGTGCTAGAATTAAAACTGACGATATTTTAAAAAATATATAGGTTTTTCTTTAAAATAAAAAAAATATCCATTCAAATAAGTTTTATATTTTTTATTTTTAAAAATAGATAAATAATAACAATACGAAACACATTATCTAGAAATGAAAATAAAAAACAATACAAAAATAAAATAAACTAAAAAAACAATAATAAAAAACAAAAAATTGATCCCAAACATGACTTTAGCAATTTTATAAATATTTCTAATTAGATATAAAAGACGTACAATATGTAACACACTTCGAATAGGGACAAAATACTATTGAAAAAACCAAATACCATTAGTGCACAACGTAATGCACCTCAATCAATTGCTCCTTTATTTTTTCTAGCGGCCTCTGCCTTAACTTTCTTTAACATGGCTTTCATGGTTGTACTTTACTCAAGGACTACTTAATTTCTAATGCAATAACATTAACCTTCTCTACTATTTTCAATGTGACTTCCTACGTGGCCCTTAGATTAGCATTTTCCTGCAACATTGCAACTAAGTATATAGTTACATATAGTGGCTTCATTCACTCTATTTTCTTATTTTTCTTCTTCAAGATCATCTCAAACTAACCCTAGATTTGAGATGTCATCTCCAAAAAAGAAAAAAAAAGAAAAAATTAATTCGCAAGCTGTGAAAGGTTTCAAATAAGTAATATGGACTATTTCACTCCTCCGTCACTATAAAATTGGCCTTGTCGGGTGAAAAAAAGATGCAATGTCTAACTTCAAATGCTTGATTAGTGTGATCCACATGATAATAAAATTCCAACTCTTTTGATCTTGTTTGTTTCATCAAGAGGTTTAATCCAACCAAAATATCTTTGGTAAGGCTTTATATTCGACCATTTTCTGAACCAAGGAAGTTAAATCTACCCACATTACCAGCATTACCAATGACACTTGAGCATTTGACTAAAAGTCTAATGTGCTGTTTCAACCCATCCAAATGTTTGTTTGAATTAACATCTAAATTGACCATCAAATCAGCATCCTCCTAAAGAGGGGTGAACGACACTATATTTAATGCTCTTTCATCGTTTGTTACACAATGTAATAAAGGGCTAACATAAGGATGAACCCAATAGTGCTTGATGAAAAACCATCTATCACGGTGATCTCACCTACCATTTGTTACACAATGTAATAAAGGGTTTACCTCTAATTACATGATAATATTGTGAAAGGCTTTTTATTGAGAGAAAACTTTCATGAAATGAAGGTTTCTCAATGACATAGCCTTCACAATTTAGGGAATGAAGGGTAAGGGAAACCCCTCATTCTCTGTTCCAAATGGTAGCTCAACCTATTCATCAAGAGCGAAGCCTCCAAAGATCACGTGACTATTCATAATCTCAGTCAAATGGCTTTATAAATTAGGGCTTAGAAGAAATCTTAGAGGGATCATAAGGGGAAGCGCAAGAGAAGGCTCCTAACCTAGCGACCACCTCTAACAATAGCCTACCTAGTTCTCTAACACCATAATACAAAGGCTTTGCTAAGAAAAAAATAAATTAGGAGTTCAAAATAATTTCACCTAAGAGATATTTTCGTATGTGTCCACTCGACTTGTCTTTGCTCGTTTCACTGCTAGGATGAAGGTAGCTCCTCCTTCATGGAAAAGAAATTCTCTAGCAGTCCTCTATCTTAAACTTTTTTCAAGAAGTTATGAGGGTAGATGAAGTGAAGAAGAGGAGAAGGATAGAGTAGAGGGTGAAGTTAAAAAGTTAGAAAAGGAGGAAGGCAATGTTTTCTCACAAAGAAGTTTTCTCCACATCTCCCATAGTTCTCTCAAGCATTCTATAGCTAAAGAATCTCTCCCAAGGTAATGAAATATGGATCCTCAATTAATCCCCTCAGCTATCCATGTATTGGTGGCTTTTCTTCGTCATATTGTGTTAAAAGAAGATTCTTTTTTCCATGTCAAGACACCACATTAGCTATCAGAGAGGTGGGCAGCGAATAAAAACATCATATTGTACCATTTTATTTATCCCATACAATGTAATTATATGAGATCAAGTGGGAGGATTGGTCAAATATTTTGGCTACAAGTATGCAAATGGGACACTTAAGTTCTCCAAACCGGTGCAAATGCGCCACCTTCTAGGTTGGCAAACAAAACGACACTTCTTCTAAGACTTTGGTGCATAGATGCCCATGTTTGGCACATAAGCACCACCCTATCATGTATCAAGGAAGTAAATAGTCTGTCCTTGGTATTCTTGGGCACATACCACATACGCACCCATATGTGGCGCATATGTGCCACCCTCTTGGGTTGTCACCAAGGAAGCACACTTCTTTTTGCTTGGGTGCATAGACGTCCATATTTGGCCGCTTATACACCCGCTCCTTAGTACTGAGAACTTGGGAACTCAATTATGGGAAACATATTCAAAATTCTTGAGAATCATATTCAGTGAATAGAGGATCTTCTATAATCCAAAAACGAATAAAAGCTTTGTGCTACCTCTTAAGCAGGGTTGCATGGTCACGTAGGTAAGCTCTTATGCATATTTGGATTATAGAAGATCTTCTTTTGACTGAATATGATTCCTAGGCATTCTGACTAACATAGGAGATGTGCCAAATTGAACAAATAGTGTCTTATTTTATGGATTTCACCCTGGTATGACCATTTTGATCCAAACCTATTTTGCTTCCCAAGTGCCTGTCGGAAGACTTTATGGATCTGTAAGCTATAGAAAAGCATATATCACAAAAAATAGGCACCCAAAACTTACGAATAAACATTTTAATTAATTTTTTTCAGAAACTTTAGTGTCAATAAGTGTTATATACCTTAGAGCGGGTGCACTGGTCCAAAACCTTATTTTCTCCAAAGCATACGTATGAGGGGCGTATGATTTTCATTGACCACGGGATGCTCTAAATGGACCATAAATGTTCTTTAAATATGAGAATGGTCTACGAAGGTGTCCAATATAAATCTGATACCACCAAATGGTGATTTTTTATGTGTAAAGCTGAATCAATGCCAACCCTGGCTCTATGCCCCGAACACTTACCAGGAGGTTTGTTCAGATGTTTTAAGCTATGAGATGCTATGAATGAAAAATGTATAATCCTAAGCCATTCAAGTGGATATCCTAAATGTGTGGTAACAAAATTTGATGCCAACAAGTTT